TATGTAATTGAGATGTGTTAAGTGGTTAAGTGTTGTGAACCTATATGATTGATTATATTGGGTTATGAGACACTAAAAGACTAAGCATTCCTCGAACACCTTATCACCTACTCTAAGATATATAATGCATTGGTCATTGTATGATGGGATAGTCATATCATGTTTCTCAAAAAGATTGAACAAAGGAGAGAGAGAGAGAGAGAGAGAGAGAGAGAGAGAGAGAGAGAGAGAGAGAAGTGGGGGGCTAATGGCTAATCTTGGTTATCCAACTTGACTGGATCTGGATTTGGAATCAACTAAAATAATAGAGACTTTCATGATTGGATTAGTTGAAGCTGGAAGACACACCCTAAATGTGGGCGTTACCTTCTGATGACAGCCTGTATAAAAGACCAAGGCAGAGGAGAACACCAAGCTTCTAGCTGCTTGCCTTCTCTCTCGCTGGTGAGTTCGTCTTGCTGCTATAGACTGAAGACTAGCTGATCTTTTGGAATTTGTCAGAACATCAGCGCCAGATTGGGACTACTGAGACATCCAGCCTTGTGGACTGAGCGACTATGGATTCTCACCCTCTCCAGTGTGGTTCAGCCGTTGTTGGACTACTCGGACTCTATCCTGTGAGCTAAGCTGATAAATCTATATATATATCTATATCTATCATCTATCTATCTATCTATCTATCTATCTATCTTCATTTTACTGGTTCTGTTTCTTTAGAGAACCCTGACTAATACAACCAGAAAAATTATTTTAAGGTTATTTTCAAGCTCCACCTCCTTTTCTAAATATTATAAATTATCTGCACTATGAACATTAACTCCATCTTCTTGAAAATAAACATCTTTTGATGACTTCTATTGCTATAGTAAAATCTATGCACATTTTAATTTCTTCTCAGAATATTTTACATAAACTGTCATTTAGAATAAAGATCTTTGACAGCTAGTCCTAAGCTTGTAGCTTTCCAATTATGTTTTACATTGCTTTCTATGGATCAGCCTAGGATTGCAGATGAAAGGAATGGCCCTAGCCATACACTGCATCCTTGTGCATCTCAGGCAAATCTCCATCAGTACTTTAAGACTTAACAACACAAGAAAAAAGGAAGAAAACTGACTGTCCATGTCGATGGGGTGGAGAACTTTGTCTCTTTGTCTCTTTGTCTCTTTGTCTCACATATGCATGTTCTTCCTTTCTGCCCTGGTTGGTTTTTGTGTCAACTTCAGGCAACCTAAAGTTCCCTCGGAAGAAAGAACAGCAAGGGAAGAATTGCCTGGATCAGAGTGGCCTGTGGCCATGATTGTGAGAGACTGTCTTATGTGATGATTGATGTGGGAGGACCCAGCCCACTGCACCATCCTTAGGCAGGTGGGTCTGGGCTGTATAAGAAAATTGGGAATCAGAAAGCCAGAAACCTCCATGGTTTCTACTTCAGTTCCTGCTCTGACTTCCCTCAGTGATGGACTGTAAGCTTAATAAATAAACACTTTCCTTCCTCAGAGTTTTGTTTTTAAGCATTGTCACAGAGACACAATGTAGAACACTCTCCAAGCTACTTTGTATCCAGTACAAAACTTCATTAGTGGCTTTATTTAAAATCTAAACCCTGAAGTTGAGTCTTGTTCCAGCGAAGTTTTAAAGGTAATTATTCAGAAAACAAATGACAAGTCAATACAATCTATAGTTGATTTAAATAGGAATCTTTAATGATTGTGTCCCACTTCTTCTCTGTCTTCCATACTTTAAAAAAGTGCTCCAAAGAATAGAATCTGATTTTAATGGCAAATTTGAATCACTACATTATTGAAGGCAAAGAGGTAACAAATTACAGACTAGTGCAAAAACTAGGGTTCCCACATTCTCTAAAGTGCTTCCTGATCAAAAGTTAAAACCCGAAATCTCACTGATTTGTTAAACACTGGAATATTATTTATATAAACTTTCATCTTTGCCAGCTTGGAGCTTTGGCTTGGACTCAAACTTCTAGAATATGCTAGAGAACAATTTGATTAGAGCAGGGGTTCACAGATGGGGATGAAAGGAGTCACTCCATCTTCCTCTCAGTATTGCACAATATAAAACCCACCAAGTGGTAGGCGGTGGGGCCCTGTTCTCCCTGCTGGCCACAAGAAGTCCTCAGGTAGGCCATCTCACAAGCTGCCATCTAGGCTGTCAAACACCATGGGTTGATTTTACCCAAGCAAACCTTTCTTTCTGCACCTAGAAAGAAGGGAGAGATGGAGCTTGTATGTTACCCTCAAAGCCATGGTAGACAGAGGAACGAGCTGAGAATAGACTGACTCTTACAGGATCCTCCAACCTACTCCCTAGGAGCCAGGAGACTTCATCTGCCTACACATTCCCACAGCACCCAGGACCCAGTCAAGCAAGGTCTTTCTTTGGGCTATTTCTTCTTGAACCCACTTTTCCACTGGCTCAGGATGAAAAAGACCTTCCTCCCTTTGGAAAGGTGTTCTCACCACTTTTAGTTTCATTTCCTTAGAAAATGATCACTGCAGATAAACACATTTTTATAAATAAAAATTGAGGCATATTTGTAATATATTAAAATTTTCACCAACAAAGGTGTATTAAAAATTTCAAGTTCTGTCATTCGAGTTCAATAAAGGCACACGATTTTTTTCCCTTCAGGTCTGCAATGAATACAGTCACCAGCAATGAGTCACTGTAGTTTTGTGGGACTTCCTTTGATTTTCCTCTGATGGAGACAGGTAAGCATTCATTCATGAATCAGCGGCTTGACTCTACCACCCAAAGAACATTTCTAGATGGAGGGTTTTAAATGAATTCCACTGTTGATTTCAGAATCACTGACCCACAGCATCGTGGCTCAATCACGCCAAGTCTGCTTTGGCTATTTCCATCAGGGCTTCTCCCTGCCGAAGCCTTTCCGGTTCCCGGGTTCCGATGCTCTCCGCACCAGCCTCGGAGGAGGCTTGGGTGGAACGTCCTCAGTCAAACTGTCTTCCCTGCCTCGTCCAAACTGGTCTTTGGAGAGAAGGGGCTGCCTCAGTACTCCAGGTGTCTGGGTGCCCCCCTCTTTGCTGCTGCGCTGTGCTGGAAGGGTGCTGGTTTGAACGCGCCCAGAATCCATGTCCACCTCATTCTTCCATTCCATTTTATAGGTCTGGGAGGTTTTCTTTGAGAACTGCTCTGGCAAGAAGCGTCTGGTTCGGGGCTGCAAATTAAGCACGGTGGTCCCGGCATCTGTCTCTGAGTCGCTACTATTACCGTCTGTCACAGAACAGAAGGGCAGTGTGGGCAAGCAGGGAAAAGAGGTACCACAAGAGACCTCAATACCTCAAAGGGTCTCCAACCCTCCCCTACTATTACCGTCTGTCACAGAACAGAAGGGCAGTGTGGGCAAGCAGGGAAAGAGGTACCACAAGAGACCTCAATACCTCAAAGGGTCTCCAACCCTCCCAGGGGCCTGCGGACAGAGAAAGTCAGAAGGCCCACTCCAACTCCTGCTAAGTGACTTCCAGCATCTGAGAACACTCAGGCCACAAGCATGTGCCCATGCTAACTTTGAAGAGCTTACTGTGTGCCCGGGATTGCTAAATGCATTTGCCCCTTGACCCCACATCCTCCTCCATTTTGCAGATAGCGTTAAGGTTCAAGTATTAGAAAGCGCTAGAGCTGGAATTCAAGCCTCAAGCTCTTGTGGCTCTGCCCTCAGCGGCCCCGGAATCCCCACTAGAGGGCTCATCTCAGACTCTGACACCAGCAAGCAGTCTAATGGCACCTTGCCGCTACTTAGATTCTTCACTTCATTTAAAATTGTATGAGCAGGGTCGGGAGAAAATGGCTCAGCGGTTAAGAGCACTGACTGCTCTTGCAGAGGACCCAATTCAGTTCCCAGCACCCACATGGTGGCTAACTGTCAGTAACTCCAGTTCCAGGGGATCTCTTCTGACCTCTTCTGACCTCTGCAGGCATTGCATGACACAGGCACACCTACATACATGCAAGTAATACACTCATGTCCTGGGACACTAACTTGACACAATAGGGCTTAGCACAAATGACAGAATGTATGAATTCCAGTGAGGGGAGGCTATGGAAGGGTGCCAGTGAGGAAGGGGTATAAAGATGACTAAGATTGATTGAGATGTTCTGTATGAAATAAAATATAATTAATAATAATAAGTAAAAATTCTATTAAAAGTAATAATAAATAAAATATTAAAAAAATTTGCATGAGCAGATTTGTTGACTTGCTTTACATGTCCATGAAAATATCAAAACAATGTGTAATGAGATCTGGGTACTGGGGATCATAAACCATTGACAGGATGGGCTGCTTGCCTACTAGTTGAAATTTTTGGAGCTGAGAACACTTTTCTGGACATGCAGAAACAAAGCTGCTAGTTATGAATATTCAATGTCTTACCTTCCATTTCCCTCCCTCTCATTTTTCACCTCTCCCTCCACTGGCATGAGCAACTTTTAGACTTTCTCTCTCTTGGTTACTTCAATAAACAAGCAGGTATGTGCAGGTCGGGGGGGGTGCAGGGTGGGAGGGGGGCACGGGGTTTTAATTATTTTTACATCCTGTATTTTAATAAAACTGAATCTTAATGTAATTCTTCTGGGATTTAGAGAGAAGATCCTGGGTGTATACATGAAGATTACCACCAAAGAAGTAAAATTTATGGCTGATTCTATGAAAATACACTAGAACTAGGGTTGAATTGTAAATGCTTATCCATTTCCAGATTTATACCTTTCTATTTACCTGCTTAATAACTCCATAGTAACAATATTTGCTTTTGCTATATCAAATGATCATTATGGAAAATAAGTGACTGGATTATTTATAATCTAAACAGAACACCATTCAAAACTGGTTTCAATAATAATAAGAGGCAATCCTGTTACTGTTTCACCTGTGTAAGCATTAAAGTTATCCTTAATGAAGAAAATGAAAATATTTTTGTAAGTGTTAACAAATCTAAAGTTTTTCTGCTTCAAGTATAATCATTACCTGCATTAGAAATATTCTTCTTCTTTTGTAGCTTTTCTGGAAGTTTTGTATTTTTAGGTAAGGATAAATACCGAGAAGTTGAAGTGGAAGCCTATGAAAGAGACAGAACACATTGTTCAGATTACATAAATGCTGCAAACTAGAACAGCTAGATTACATTTATGCAATGAGTTATTATATAAATTACAGTAAAAGTTAAAACTTTATGACAAAACTCAATCTTCAAATACAATTCCAGTCCTTCATTGCAACGTTACTTTTTCAGGCTCTATAATTAATGCACTTAAAATAAATCCCTGCCCAAACCTAAGGCAGGTCATACAAAAGGGAAAATAAGTGGGCCCGTTAGAAAGATGTGACAATCATTAGCTGTTTTTAAAGAAAAACTACAAAACATCCATCTACAGAAGTAGCTTTCTTTTACTTAGAAAGACATGGAATCTGAGTGTCTGGGTGGGGGGAGTAGATGTGATAAAACGCAGCATATTTAAGTTTCATTTACTTTAATAAATCTTTTAAAATATTTTATTTATTATTTTTATGTGTATGTATTGTTTGCATGTAGGTAAGTGCACCCATGTTGTGCAATGGCCACAGAGGACGGAAGAGGCTGTTGGATCCCCTAGAACTGGAGTTATGGACAGTTGTTAGCTGCCATGTAGGTACTGGTATTTGAACCCGGTTCTTCTGCAAGAACAGCCAGTGTTCTTAACTGCTGAGCCATCTCTCCAGCCTCACACTTTAATATGTCTTAAAAATGATAGAACATCAAAAGCCTTACAAAATCAAACTACGGACATACTGAATGGTAGAGTTAACAGTTACTGGTCACTGCTGCATACTGTACACAGAAGAGCTTTTTCCTGTTCACACAACTCTGATGACCCAATACAAGGTGATATTAAAAATATAATGTCTGCCCTGCTACAGCAGTAAATGACTGCATGACCATTAATGGCCTTCCTTGTCTGTTGACAAGTTCCTGCCCATAGACTGTTGAGCAATCTACACTGTGAGTTCTCATGCTCCCAGCCACTCTGGGCTTCTTTTATTCTCCAGAAAATATGAGCCTTGACTGGTATCAGCGCTTTGCTCTCTGTTACCTCTCTCTGGAAAGCTCAAATGCAGTCAATGGCTACATAACCAATGTTTCTGTCAAAGAGCAATGAACTGTAATGAGAAATGAGCAGCGATCCTGTAAGTTTATATCAGCTAGTGACATCACAGTTCTCCTAGTCTACATAGTACACGATGTTCTCACCACAAAATCACTGATGACACATCCTCAGAATGTATCCTGGTGTTATGCACACAAGACTGTCCAGTCATGGAAACCTGACCCAGCCATTCTGATTAAAATTGTGATTGAACTGTTGATAGCATCTTTTTTTTTTAATGTGCATTTTCTCCAAAGCACCTACTGCTTTAAACATAACTTGATTTATATTCTATTGCTGGTTACTTTTTCCTCCAGTAGGAGGAGATATGAATCTTAGACATAGGAATCTTAGTACATTTTATTCACTAGTGAATTCCATGTGTCTAAGACACACACTGGCAAGAATGTAAAAAGCGTTCAAAGAGTATTTGAAACAAGCCTGGTGTGGTGCTCCATGCCTTTACATCATAGCACATGGGAGGCAGAGGCAGGCATCTGTGAGATACAGGCCAACCTGGGCTACAAACTGAAGCAGAGGATGGTGGTGCAAACCTATAATACTAGTACCTAGGATGTGGAGACAAGAGGATCAGGAGGTCAGAGTCGTCCTCTGTACTACAGTTGAGTTCACCACCAGCCTGGGCTACATAGTAGTTTGTGTCCCAGAAAGAAGCAAAAACTATGTAAAAGGAATTAACTGTTATTTGTCTCTTTTTTTTAGATATGTTTCATAATGTTGCTCAAACTGGCCTCAACTAGTCCTCCTTCCTCAACCTTCCAAGTTGTTGGGACTAAAGGAGCATGGTAAAAAAGAGTTTATTACTTATTCCATCCCAGATTTTCTGGGACTCAGCCCTTCTCAGTAGCTATTCAACCAGCAGAGTCAGAGATGCCAGGAGCAGGTCAGCACAGCAGCTGCAGCTCTGCCCTTGGAAGCCTTCCCTCCGGAGGTGCCAGTTACCCTGCGATCCTGAGTCAAGCTGCTGTCCTTCCGGAGGCTCTCCCGCAAGCTGTGCCGCCTGCGGATCAGGATCTCCTTGGCTTGTCTCTCACTTGTGTCAGCAGTCAGATTGTGTCTGTTGTATGACAACGTCTGAAACAAAAATGCAAATGACATTTTACCAAAAGATCTATCATTTTTCTCCAAACTCCAAAACTTTACTTTTCTTTGGTTGTATAGAGAGGTTAACTTCCATGCAGGGCAAAACCAAAATTAAAATCAAAAGTCTAAAACTTAGCACTTTCAAATTTTGAAAGAACTCATTCTTTAAATATGTTTTTCTTCACTGGTAAGTGTGAGCTTTATAAATCAGAAAAATAATTTAATTCAAGTATCCATGTCTGCCTAAGTACATACATGCCTTGCATGTACTTAGCCACGATTACTAGTTTAAAAAAAAAATCATTTGTATATGATCTCTGCTGAGACAGTGCTGATATGAAAACTGAGCCATGCCGAGCCACTTGGTGGTGCCATGTCCCTTGATTAACTTCAGAATGTGTCCATTTCTCAAATAAGCTGTTACAGTGGGAGAAGTTATGTCACCACAAGCAGTCATCATTTCTAAATGAGGGCTATCTGTGTCATCTTAAATAAATCATAATTAGTACTTAACCTCATTTCCTGACAGAATTGGCATGAACTTGTCAGGAGTATCCCATGTCCTGAAATATATTGGACTTTGCAGATAGATGAAAAGGTGACATGGACAAGATTAGACTTCTGTCTTGAGAAGTTTACTGTCTTGTTGGACATCTAATTCTAATAAAATCATAAAATCAAATGCTAATATCAGCTGTGCTATAGAAGCTCCAAGTGCTACCTAATTCAAAGACAGGGCTGGGTTAATGTGTGGTTCTTGAGGAAGATGTATCGTTGGAGGCTATGGGCAGCTAACGGGATGCAGGGACTGGATCGCAGTATAAAAAGACAGTACATAGTGCACAGACTCAAGGCTGGTGACAGAATCTGTCATTCCACAGGAGTCTGAAGTGAATGGATGGAACAAATGTGGGATAATGCAGAAAGAAGAGGCCCCAAATTCTGAAAGAATGGATTAGCCTGGAAACTACACCTGTTGTTTTGTTTCATTTCAAATATGAGAATACTGCCCTTGAAAGGAGCTTGAGAGAAAGGCATGGAATAAGACTCATATGGATGAAATGGTGACCACCTGCTGGAATGCTGCTCAGGCGCTGCAGGTGCAGCCTGGAAGAAGTAAGGAAGATGCCTGGCAAGCTTAGTGGCCCATCTGCCATCTGTGAAACAGAGACAACAGTGACACCTAGCATTGCGAGGGGATCGAATGAGCTAACACAAGCAGTGTGCTGAACGATACGCTGCAAGCTGCAAACTGTACACACCCTCTGAACATTAACATATCATTAGCCTATTATTAGAACATGTATGGATGATGGAAACAGTGAAAGAAGTGACTCAAAATATATGATGAAGAAGGGCTGGAGAAATGGTTCAGCAGCTAAGAGCAATGGCTGTTCTTGCAGAGGACCCAGGTTTGATTCCGACACCCTCTTCTAACCTCTGAGAACATTGCATAATGTGGGTGCACTTACACACATGTAAGCAAGATACTCATACATTATTTAAAATAAAAATAATAAATAAAGTATGTTTTAAAAGACAGGATGAAGAAAGAAACTTTATGAAAAAGGAATTGATATATACAGTCTAAGCTACAAATTATTTTCTTTTTAAAAAATATTTTATTTTAATTATCTGTATGTGGGGGTATGTGCATATGTGTGCAGGTTTCCACAAAGGCCAGAGGCACTGGATTCCTCTGGAGCTGAAGTTACAGGTAGTTGTGAGCCACCAGACATGGATATGGAAACAGATTTTTGGGTCCTCTGAAGGGTCAGTATGCCCTCTTAATGACTAGGCCATCTCTCCAGGCCTAAAACCATTTTCTTAAATGAAACACAATCAGTTCATTTCCTCACAATTGGTCATCACACAATCCTTTATTTCCAAAGAAATTATGGGAACTTTGAAGCTTTAGCTAAGGTGTCTGGAAGAATGGAGGAACTCTTTCAGGATGGGATGCTGAGAAAAGGTCTGAAGAAGAACAGATGCCCAGTGAGGAGTTCAGTAAGACTGCTGATCTACTGACACCCCTGCTTATGGTCCAGAGCTAGAAGGCATGCCCTGGGCTGAAGTCAAGTAAACACTCTGGTACATAAATTTTTCTTACTCGTTGACGAATTTGATAGAGATTCCGTGATAATATTTCTCGAATTTCATCCATTTCACCAGGCGTGAGCTTCCTTATTTTTTCTTCACGGCAATCACTGTGAAAGTTTAGGAAAAAATTTTTTTTCACCTTTCAATGGACTTCAGAAGCATTAATTTTCTTCCTTAGAGATACTGCATCATTATTTCAGAAGAACATTCTAAATATTTTTGAAGTATTCAGTTTCAGAATAAATATATTTTCTAAAACAGCATTTCAGTGATAAAACCATTCCTGGTAAGCTTAATTCTGTATTAAGTTCCCACAATCTATTATTGTATATTCATGTTTCTTTTTCTTTCTTCCCTCCCTCTCTCCCCGCTTCCTTCCTCCCTGGCAGTGTCTTGGCCAGAAACTCACAATCCTGAGGCCTCAGTTTTATATGCTGTGATCACAGGTGTGTGCCATCATGCATAACTTCTCATGCGATTAGTCTTTTAAAAATATTTTATTTATTATTTTTATTGTATGAGTGTATTGCCTGCATGTATGTGAGTGTACCCATGTCATGCAATGCTGCAGAGGTCAGAAGAGGGCTTCATATTCTCCTGGAACTGGGGTTAAGGACGGTTTGTAGCCGCCATGTGGGTGCTGGGAATCGAACCCGGGTCTCTGCAAGAGCAATCAGTGCTCTTAACCACTGAGCCACCTCTCCAGCCCCATGTGATTGGTTTTTAAGGGAGAAATGCCATCATAGTTTACAGCACTATCTGTTCACTATTTCTAGCAGCCCTTATATGGAGTAATGTAGAACTGTTTAGTCCAACATAATTTTAATTCACTATATTTATTAAACCTCCACACCAGATATTTTGGATTGAGTTGGTATGGAGCAAGGCCCAGGAATCCAAAGTTTTTATTCCTCCCAAGATATTTTCAACATACAGTCAGGATTGAATATTCTTTGCATCAGATGTTTATGTATGTTCCCCAAACCTAACTATAATACTGTGAATAATCAATGAGAAACAAAGCTATAATTATTTTTCTACATTTATAGTATCAAATATGACATACCTAAAATATCCCATTTAACAAGACTGGTTAAGAGGGCTTTAACTCATTTTCAATAATTGTCAAACATCCCAGTAAAAGCTAATTTAATAAAGACATGAAGATTCTAAATTTGATGAAGTATTTTCTGACTTATCAATTCCAATATAACACGACACAGCATAATATAGCATAAAACATAACACATGATGTATGCATTTCTGGATTCTGTCTACCTGACTCTCATTCTGCTGTGAGATCTTAAGGCACCATCTTTAGGACTTAGGTCAATCATCATCGTCGTCATCATCACAGGTATTGAAATAGTATCAATGTGCATCTAGCAATATCAATGTCAGTTTGCAAAGCAACACTCACTTTAGAGACGCAAACGAAGGGACAGTACTTATCATCCCAGTCTCTGCCATCTCAATGGCGTGTTTTATTTCAAGCTTTTTATATAAGGACACGATGCTAGACTTAGGTTGGTTTTCTCGAATCAAAAGCTTCCGAAGGTATTTGTCATCAAACTTCTTAAACCTGTAAATAAAGTCAGAACTTAAATTACTGAATGCCATAGTGACTAAGATAAAACTCCCAGATGAAAGCTTTGCAAAATGAAGCTAGTCTGATCATAGTGTATAATTTCATATATGCATATCTATTTCACGTATGCATATATGGCATGTATGTTTGTAAGCTCTAACAGACATCCAATTCCACATGTTCAAATGAGTTCATTTCCCCTAGCTCTCCCCACAGCTAAGGGGACTTATCAGGTCAAAATCTCTGGAGCAAAAAATTGTATGCTCAATTCCTAATTCCTATATGATACACACATAGATATGTGTGTACATATTCATTTAAATATACAAACACAGGGCTGGAGAGATGGCTCAGCGGTTGAGAACACTGTTCTTGCAGAAGACCAAGTTCAAATCCCAGCACCCACATGGCAGATTACAACTGTCCGTAACTCCAGTTCCAGGGGATCCAACAGCCTCTTCTGTTCTCTGTGGGTATTACATGACACGGGTGCACTTACCTACATGCAGGCAATACAAGCATACACACAAAAATAAAAATAATAAATAAAATAAAAATAAATATGCAAACACGTATAGATTCTTGTTTATAGATAACATATACGTATTAGTATTTGCTAATAATGCTATGCACTAATACTTTATATACATGTACATACATATATTTCCTCCTCTCTCCATTACTTTGGTTGCTATTTCTTCTTTCTGACCTCTGAATACAGGAGTGCCCTAGTTCTTTTCTGGTACTCAGTCCCCTGGATATGCTGTCCAGTTTCCTGTCTCGTGGCTTTTGTTGATGTTTATTATTTTGTTTTGTTTGTTTTAAGAGAGGGGCCTATGCAGCCTGAGCTGGCCTCAAATTCTAGGTAGCTAAAGATGACTTTGAGCTCCTGATCCTCCTGTCTCATCTACAAAATACTAAGATTTTAGGCGTGCACCACTGCATCTGACTTGGAGTCTCACGTCTTTTAATAATATCTTTCTGTTTGTGACTCTAAAAGTTGCCTCTCCAGCTCCACCCTCTTTCTCAAACCCAACCATACAGCATTCAAACTCAATGTCTTCAAACTAAACTGATCTCCTCCCTGTCCTCCCCACCTCAGTTGAGGATGACTTCACGAGGGAAAAGTTCTAGATGTTTCTGTGATCCTTATCTTCCATATTCCATGTGATAGGTTGAAGTGTCCTCATAAAACCTCCTATGTTGAATTCTTAATTCCTAGTGCATTAGGCTGAGACCATGTTTGGAGATACAGTCCTGACAAACATGATTAGGGTGGGCTTTACCCAATAGGACTAGTATGCTGATAAGAAAAAGACATTTAGACACAAACACAGAGAGAAAAGTGTAATGAATCAGGGAGAACGCAGCCCTCTGTAAGTGAAGGAGAGAACAAATCCTTCTGCCAGGTCCCTCAAAGGGAACCAACCCTGCTAACACTGGTTCCTATAACCTATTCATAACACAGTAGCTACAGTTACCTACTAAAATATCAAATGTTGTCGGTGCTAGAGCATGGATTTGCTCTCAGCACAGTGCCCTCTGTTCAGGGTCTTTTCTACCATAGGCACTGGCCACGTGCACTCTGAGAGCCTCTATCTTCCCTGCTCCATCTGCTAGGAATTCATTTTCACATTGCCTTTAAGTTTCTTATCAACCTTCAACAGCAATTGGCTCAAAAAACCATCTGAACATCAGGCTTTTGTCTGCTGGGCTCCAAAATGTAGCTACTTTTTTGTTTTAATGGTACAGCTTTTTTACCCACGTTCCCCACATTCTCCCTCACTTCTCAGATGTATTTTCTTCTTCAGAGCAATTCTTATATCCTATTTCTTGGCTGTAGGATATAGTACATACAGTGATTTTCTTTTCCTGCTGTATCAGTGACATCCAGAGCAGAGCCTGACACCATATAAACATATGTGGTATAAATAGATCATTTGGTTCCAATTCCTTCCTGTATCCACTTCTTCTGCCATACTGCCAAGCAACATCTTTCTTCCATGGCCTAGATGACCCTCTGCACTGCTATTAGTCAGTGGAATCAATATTGTTTTGGTCAATGGCCTTCTCGTGACATACTGACAGAAGAGGCTTAAAAACAGCTTGCCATTGAAGCCTGAATCTTCTGGCTTCAATGGCACAGGCCAAGGTGAACAGCAAACGGATGTAGCAGTTATGTCACCTCCATCATATCAAACAAGCTTAGCTAGGATCGGTTGACTACTAGCCCGCGGCAGCATGAGCAAGACCAGTCTGAATCAGCCCTGCCCAGCCCAGCCCAGCCTACCTGGAGTTTCTTGATTTACCCTTTAATAATAAATAAATGCTGTTCTGAGCAGCTGAATTTGGGGATGGTTTGTATGCAACATTACATGCTACTATATAAGTAAAACAACATGCAATAAATACTTGTTGAGAAAGAAGTGTATTATAATGATCACCATAAACCCAAACAGGTTTGTTGGCATACCTGTACCAAGAAAGGAACCAGTGTTCACCTACATTCTTGGCACCAGTTCTTTGCTCTAAATACTGGAGGGCTGTGAATAATTCAAGAGCCATCCTGGATGCCCTTTGCTATTGACCAGCCATTACCTGAAGGCTGGGCCTACTGTTTCCGATGTTTATTTTTAATTTCTCATTAGGACTCTTGAGTCAGGATTCTCAACAGCAATACAATGCCTTCTAAAACTTCTTACACGATCATTATTTTAGTTTTTTATTAGAGATAACAAAAAGAAGAGTGAGGAGGAAAGAGCCACATCGGAACCACTCTGCACAGGGGTTGAGTCTTTTCTTTCTTTGCTTTATTTCTACCTCTTTCATTTCTTTGCCAACCTTCACATAGGTGTTCTCTTTCACCTGTTAGACGCCTTATTGCCGAGCCTGAGCAATGTCCCCACTGTATCACCTTTCATCCTGTTCTCAAATGATCAAGTGCTTCAAGAATTCTCTGCCAGAAATAGTGGGAATTTGAAGCATGAGGGCTTTGGAGGAAAGGGAAAGATGCTTCAGCCAACATGCCTTGGTCCATCACTTCTTTCAGCAAGCTCTTAGCAACATGAAAGATTCTGTACATATCAGAGAGGTGATCTGTGCAGAACTAACTTGAAAATGGCCTGTGTCAGTACCCATTCACCAGACCCATTTTTCCAGTGGTATATGTACAGTATATATGAGAATTCAGAAAACAATTTGAAATTTGTGTGGAAATTAAACGTGGAAATATAAAAGGCTTGTAGATCAATTAGTTAAGTATATGCATTGCTGATGAAAATGTCAGAGAAAGGCAGCATTTCCTTTACAACATAAGCCAACAGTTGGGATAGGCTGGCTGCCTCGAGTCACCTGCTTGTAGCACACTCCTGGAGTTCAGAGAGAGTGGCTGCCTGCAGGACAGGACACACAGACTTCCTCTGACTTTCCTTTGCCTGAGTTCCACTTCAAACCCACACCATCACAGTAACCCTCTTACTCCTCACAGAGCCCATAGGCTGCTGACCTGATGCAAATGCCTACTCATGCCTGGGTTCTGCCCTGCCTGGAGAGAGGGGGTGGGAGAAATGTGGAGCCCCATCTTCTCTTCTGAAAGGAAACAAGTTGGTCTGCATCATTGCCTCTCACTCTTCATTTTGGGAAAGTACTGATAGGAGTCTAGTCTAGAGAAAGGGAAATGTGGTTGGATTGAAAAGGGGAAGGTAGATTATGAAAACACTGGGGAAAGAAGGGAAGAAGTCTGTCTCATTGGCTTGGCCCATCCATGTGAGGAAGGTCACCAGGCATAGTACAGAGTCGGAGACAGAATAAAGCAGGCACATCAGGCTGCTTTCCACCTGCCTCCACAAAAACGAATGCCTCCCAAGACAAATGGGCAATTTGCTCATATGTTTACAGTGCAGATTTTAGTCTGCTTTATTATCTTCTGCTCCCAGGTGATCAACTGGGTACTCTTCCTATAAAGAATAATCTTTCCTTGATTTACAAAATGAAGCTAAGCCAGAGGGACCTTCTTACATCCACAAACAGGGCTATGATCCTTGTAAAGTTGCTCTGGTATTAAGATCTTTGTAGCTCACTGTATTCTTTTTCCTTAAGGATCTCTCTCTCTCTCTCTCTCTCTCTCTCTCTCTCTCCCTCCTTCCCTTCACACACACACACACACACACACACACACACACACACACACCTGTTTACTGTGTAACTACTTTACTTACTATAAAATTTGAGGTCTGAGGTTTATGCTTTTTCTATAGTCCAGTACCATGTCACATGTGTAAAGTAAACAAATACTCAAAATTCTCCCATCTTATATTACATAGATTAGGAGGTTGGCTGACTACATATGAACTGGTAGTCAAGTTACAGAGGAAGAAGGAAGAGGGATCATTCCACTTTAATTCTGAATATATTCCTCTGACTTCAGGGTCAAGATTAAATGTTGCTTCCTTTCAGAAATCTTGCCTAGCCAATAATATGCTCACAGATGTTTGACAGATTGCTCCGTGAGAAAAAGGGCCTGTGTGTAACAAAAGCCAGATCAAAGGTAATCATCATGCTGTAGTGCCGAATATGCCCAGGGGAAAGGATACCCACCATGGACTCCTACCAGCTGGTGAGGGGTAGCTCCTGAGCCCACGTGCAGAGTTCAGCTGTCATAATCCTCTTCATGTTTTGATCACATCACTCATACCTAGTCTACCTTTCCCATTTCAACTGTAATAACCATGAAGACAGATACTGTATCTGAACACCACAGAACCTTTTATAAAAAGCTAGGCTTGTATGTGTTTATGCATGTACACACTTTTTTTTCTTTTTCTGTTTTTTTCTTTCTTTTTTTTTATGTGTATGACTGTATTGCCTGCTTGTATGTGAGTGTACCTGGGTTGTGCAATGCCACGAAGGTCAGAAGAGGGCTTCGTTTTCCCCTGAACTTGAGTTAAGGATGGTTTGTAGCCACCACGTGAGTGTTGGGAATCAAACGCGGATCCTCTGCAAGAGCAGTCAGTGCTCTTAATTGCTGAGCCATCTCTCCAGCTCCATGCTTTTTTTATAAATGCAAATTTTCAGATAGTTAGCATATGTTATTTCTGTGGGCTTACTGCCTTTGATTATGCCCCTCATCCTGTGTGACAGAATGAAGTAATGGAATTCTTGGTTTTTATCCCATAGACTCTGTACCTTGCCTCCTTTGCAATAAGAAACAGCCATATAACTAGTCCTTTGCGATAAGATCTGAGTGGGAAAACTGTGTGACTGTGTCTGACAACTTTGGTTAAGTGGTGGCAGTAAATGTCCTGTGTCTTAGTGATCTTTCTTCCTTGCTGCAGCCTCAAATGGCTGACACTGAAGTAGTGATTCTGCCTGGGGTTGGGGGCTGGTAGGACATGGAGGCAACTCTTAGCAGGTGACGCAGCTCTAAGGACTGCGGAGAAGAGCTCATCTGTTAACCCTGAATCTCCGACTTCTGGCTGTTCATATATGCTTGTTTACGTTGCTATCATTTAATACCTCTGTTACAGCTCTGTTGTTTTCTGTTTGTTTGGTTTTGGTTTCTTTGAGACACTCTTACTAAGTCGCTGCTCAGGCTGGACTTGTACTCACTATGTAGCTTAGGGTGCCCTTGAATTGGTGGAAATCCTCCTGCCTTAGCCTCCCCAGTGCTGGGGATACATCACCATTTCTGTCTATAGTTGAGTTTTGTCTTAAAAGGCTGCATAGCAGCACAACAGAAGACTTGGAACTCTGAAGTGAGTATATTTTGCTTCCAGAGTGGCCCAGGGCCACTTGTCACAGAACATCGTAAGGGTTCTTACTTGTCTCTCCAGAAGTTGTGACCCCAGTGTCCACAAACATCTTCAATCCCAGTCTTCACATGATCAAAGAACTAAAACAGAAATAAAACAGGCAAACTGATTGACTTTTTCTTGAAATCAGTAATTTTCACTCACTGAATCATGCCTAAACTCCAGTGACTCTTGTTGCTTATTTTATTGAAAGCAATAAGTCAATTATTTTTCTTCCAATAAACTGAGATATTTGTTCATTAGATAATACTTTCAATAATTTGATCATCATAAGCTCGATCACAATTCTGAAAATATGAAAAATGGTAAAAATTGGGTAGCAGGAACATTTTTAGATTGAAGACTTTCTTGCCCCTCTGTTTATTCAGGAGGTTAGCAGACTGGCTTGGACTGGATACTAAGGCTTATGACCACCCAAGACAGACTTCCCAAAGTGTTTCACTCTTGAGCCCTCTGCTGTTGGCCTCCTTCCAGAGCAGGAACTGAACAGTAATGTGAAGCTGTTTCTCTCATTCCTGTGCATTTTATCATTAAGCTGTTTCCCCGTCAGCACGCACCCGACAGTGGATTTCCTCACTGACAGCTTGCTGCTTCTTATTGGATCGCTTAACATCAAGAATCTCCACCAGTGGTCGGATAGTAATTCCCTGCACAAAAATGCATACATACATAAATAAATGGATAAATAAATAAATAAATAAATCGATCTTATAAGAAAAAAATTCAAGAACAACTTGTCAGCTCCTAAACATTGGTGACCAACAACAAAAGATTCAAGACAGTAAATACAAAATTTTGTTAATTTTTCCTTTTCCACAACTGGTTTATTTCCAGAAGACCATTTTCTAACACAAAATAGAGGACAAAAATAGAAGTTGAAACATAATAGCAAAAATTAACAATGTTCAAAAGAATCATCTATTTGTTGTATTAGAGAAAAACTGCCCAATGATTCATTTGGTCATCTAAGGCAATTCTCATTAAGCTGTTTCTGTGTGCCTGTCAGGGGCTTGGGCACAACCTTGGCTCTTGGTCTTTGAGATCTAAAACAAGGTCAGCGCTATCCAAAAGCAGTTACAAAGTAGGCAGAAGAGGAGTGATAGTGAGACACCGGGAGTCCGGCCAAAGCAGCTTCAAAGAGAGGAAACATTCAAGGAATTTGAAAGGCGTTGGAATCATTGCTGGATGGCCAAGGAGCAGAGTGGGGAAAGGGTACAGGGTGAACTTGAGCAATGCAACAATAAGTCATTAAGTAACCTGAGAGGGATAAAGGAAACTCCCTACTCTGAAAAAAGACATCTGCCTGAATTCTCTAGTGAACATCTGACCTAATAATGAAACACTGAAGTAATTTTCATCAGAGTCAGGATGAGAGAAGGACACTCCTCTCTGCTGTCTTGGGTGTAGTTCTGCATGTTGTCCTCCAGCAAGAGTAGACCAGGACGTTCTGACAGGGAAGTGACAAGAACTTTGTTACTCATGGACAGTTTATGTTTATATTTTTGTTCTAAAACCTAAGATAATCTCTTTCATGTTAAATTAACAAGAAATCTTAAGAAACTAGCTAGTATAAAATCAAAACACGCAATAAAGCCCAAATGTTAAAGAATAAATACACAATAGTAGTGTTTTTTATATTATATATTACTTTAAAGATACAGAGCATCTATATGACTAACATATAATAGTACATAATATTGTGTATATACTAGCATATTATGATAAACTAAATAACTATATAAATTTTTCACGTGTATATATTCATATATATAAAAAACATATGACAATGCATAAATCCTTAATGTACAACATTATAAGACTCAACTGAAGACTATTTGGAAGATGCGGATTTTAACAATACATTATACAGTCCTAAATAGGATAACAATATTACTATGGCAATATTTCATTTTTAATTATTTTTATTGAGTTTTTGTGCATTTCATACAATACAACTTAATCAAATTTAGATCCCCTCCCCCCTCCCACCCCCTATGACCTCCCCACCAGATTTCAGGTGTTCTGTCATATATATTAAGTCCTCTCTGGTCAAGTATTTCTATCCAAGCTCATCCACTGGGGTCTAGTCAGCCTATCTAGAGTCACTCGGGTTGGGGCCTACTGCCATTCTCCCCGTTCTATGCTGGGTTTGTGCTATGACAATTTTTCTTAACTAGAATCTGTATGCAATACAATTCTAATAAATGTATTCAGGGACTTTTAAACAGAATGCAAGCAGTCTTTAATTAACCTACAGCAATAACCGTAGCCATAAAATTTTCAAAAATTAAAATAAATAGGAACTTAAAATAAATAGGAATTTATGGATACAAATAATCTACCAGGTAGGATGCATAATAGTATGTGATACTGTCACCAAAAGAGGCAGGAGAAGGTGTGAGAAAGAGCAACAAGACTCTTTCTTGGGGTACACAGCATGAAACCTACATAGATGGAAAAAAACTGTTGTTTTCTTGTCAAGAGGAGGGGTTATGTTGAAGTATATTCCCTGCCACTTGATTTCCACCATTTCCATTTAACCTTTCTATCTGTATTTAGGTCTTTTATTTCCCATGGGGAAGAACAGAGACAGGATCTCATTCTGTAGCCCAGGCTGGCCTTGAAAGAAGACTATAGCAATATGTCTGCCTCGTCTCCCAAGTGCTGAAATTACAGGTGTGATCAGCCACTTTTGACTTGTCTTTAAGTCTTTAATAGTGTAATCTCTATCTCTCTCTGTCTCTCTGTCTCCGTCTCTCCCCCCCCACACACACATTTTTCAAAGAAGGTCATGAGTTTTGTTGTATCAGTTCAGCACTGAACATTTTTCCAGATTAACTTTCATTTTTAACTTTCTTAAGTATCTATTAAACAGGCTTTGACCACATCTGGTATGAGAGATATCTATTTGTGTTTATATCTATTGTTGATCTATTTGTATTTCAGTCTGCCACTTTGAAATAACAATGGAATTGAGTGCAACTGTGCTCTTCATAGATGACAACTTTACTGAGTTCCCTATCCCATAGAATCAATAAGCTTAATGCCAGACAAGGGTGACTTTGCTGTGTTCCGTATCCCATAGAATGGCCAGCTTAACACTAATAGCTCAATGAAAAAGTCAACAAAATCAACAAGATTCTTAAAACATATGTTTTCAAATACTAACTGCTATTTCAGTAAATAAAAAGGAGGTTTGAGGCCAGTCTGGTCTACATAGTGAGTTCCAGGACAGCTGGGCTACAGGGAGACCCTGTCTCAAAAAGACAAAAAAAAAAAAAGGAGGTTTCTAATATTTGGAAACACAGGACCCCAAAATACAGATGAACAAGGGGCCTTCCACAATCCTGATATTGATTCCTTCTAGTAGACAGTCTGCAAGGTAATGGACTCACTGAATAAATCACCCTGACCAACTCCAAGAAGCAAAAGTGCCTACCACCAGATCTACTCAAGTGTGTAAAAGTGATTGAATTTTTATACATGAGGTTATAATTAATAAAACTTAAAAATTATGTGTCTAGTGGGTTGGAGAGATGCCCTAGTGGGTAAGACCACTTACTGCTATTGCAGAGGACCTGGATTTGGTTCCCAGCCCCACACTGAGCTGCTCCCAACCACTCCATTTCCAGGGTATCCTCTCTAGCCTCTGTAGGCACCTGCACCTACCTGGTGCACATAAACTCACACAGGCGCACACATATATACATAAATAAAAATTAAATAAATAAATCTATTAAAATGTATGTGTCTATTCAAGCACGTTCTTTCTATCGACCCATCTCTTAGAACTACTTTCAGTTGTCCTGGCATGATCAATGAGCATAACTTGGTAGATGTTGCCTTCCTTCCTCAGCCTCCCTTCTTTCCCTCTTTCTTCAGTCACCTATTTTGAAGTAGAGCATGTGACATTTAAGCATGCCATATTTAGCCAATCAGGATATTTTATTCCAGGAGCCCAGGCTTTTGGTGTAGAAGATAAGAAGGAAGAAAAGATACCTTTGAGTCAATACCTGGTTTATTGTTTTTGAAAATTATGATTTAAGGTCACCTAGGAAATAATTTAGTGAAGCTTAAAAGAATAAAATAACTTGCTACAATCAATGTAGGCTAAAAAAATTAAAAAAAAAATACTTTTTTTTCCCAAAAAATAAACTCTCCCCTCTCATTCAGCTCTGCCACAATAAACACAACACCACATGGTTGGATCTGAGAGCAACTTCATGGAGAATTAGAGAGTGGTGGGGTTTGTTTCCAATTTTTTTCTATCTCTGCTTTCCTCCCATCCTGAATCCCTCCATTTCTATCAATATCAGGGGGAAATGAAAACAAAAAACTGATTGTGGAATTAGTATTCACAAAACAGAGTGGGGACACCTCATACTTCCTTGCTGATTTTCCAAACAATTACTGGGAAACCTTGAAAGAGACTGCTTTTTATTTATTAGAAAGCTATCACTGTCTGTCTGGGGAGCTGGCTCAGTGTAAGGGTGTTTGCTGTTTAAGCATGAAGCCTTGAGGTGAGATCTCCAGTACCTTTGTAAAAAGCTGGGCATGGCCATCTGTGCCTTTAACTGCAGCGCTGGGCTGAGGGGTGAGCTGAGACAGAAGGGTTGCTGAAGCTTACTGGCCACCAGCCTGCTCTAAAACACCAGAGCTCCTAGTTCAGTGAGAAACCCTGTCTCAAAGGAATAAGGTGCAGAGTGACAGAGGAGGGTACACGAGAATAGCAGGAATCCTCCTCAGGCTTCCACAAGCAGGGACACACAGATCCACACACAAATATACCACACACACCACACACACAGACATGCATATGCCACACACACACACTATACACACACCACATGCCCACTCAGAGACCTATCAGTGCTGTGGCCAGGCCTCCTTGTATAAGGCCTTTCTCATGCTATAAACTTGAGTATCACTATCATAAATCATGTTCTGCACACAGAATTTACATAGGTGTAACATGAACAGGTGTTGGAACCGATGTTCCTGGACCTTGGCTGTCCCTGACTTCCAGCACTCACCACCTTCACAGTGGTCACCGGTCTAGCTTCTCCTAACCCATGCCTTTCTCTCTCCTGGGCTCCCTCCACTGTGCCATCCGCATTCAAGCATGTGGCTGCAGAAAAATGGAAACAAAAGCTACTTTGGCAGGTATCCTTTGCCCACTACCTGTCTCTCTGCCAGACTTCACAGCTGCCTCTCTCTCTCTCTCTCTCTCTCTCTCTCTCTCTCTCTCTCCCCCTCTCTCTCTCTCTCTCTCTCTCTCTCTCTCTCTCTCTCTCTCTCTCTCTCTCCCCTCCAGTGTGTCTTTCTTTTGATTCAGTCAGGGTCCATCCTCATGTCACCAGAGGACCTCCCATGAGGATGCCACTCCTCACCACACAGCTGAGCCAAAGCCTGCTGTTGCTATATTCATATACATGCATATGCCACATAGTCTGCACAAATCCTTGTGATGTGTAAACTATATCATTAATGTTCAGTGGAGACGAAGACAGCCGGTAAGCTGTTGCTTTTTCATTTAGTCTACGAATGTCTAGAAGGTTCTAGAATCCTCTCTTTAACACTCTAATCTGTGGCTTCTGATCCTGGCATACTTCATCCATTACCACTCACCCTGGTCAGTCTCCTAGTC